CCCTGACCTGCAAAAACTCGCGGGAATCGCGGATAAACTCGCGGATATCAATGCTCCCAGTACCGCAGTCGCCGTAGTCGCGCCAAAAGAATCTAGAAAATCCCGCTCTAAAGCTCCTCCGAGCGTCGACGTTTGTTATGTTAACCAAACAAATCCAATCTCTGAGCACATCGGTTGCGAAATTGCGTCGCGACCGTTCCACATCCCGTACGCGTAATAAGACTAAGCATGGTGATGAGGCAGATAAGCCCGATGTTAAGGCAGGCTACTGTTTCATTCACCGTAAATACGGGAAGAAAGCCACGTCCTGCCGCAAGCCTTGCTTGTGGAAAGATGACGCGGCGGAAAACTAAACCGCTCTCCCCGCGAAGAGACGGTCGGGGATTCAGGGCACGGTCAAAGCCGTCTTCATGTATACGACCAAATCACTGGTCAACGGTTCTTGATAGATACAGGCGCGGAGATCTCTCTCCTTCCAGCGTCCATACGCGATAAGAAAACGCCCTCAGAACTCAAACTGTTTGCAGCGAACAATACTTTGATAGATACGTTCGGCGAGCGTCGTCTTACCTTAGACCTAGGCTTGCGGCGTCCCATAACTTGGACTTTTCGCGTGGCAAATGTGCCTTTTGCAATCCTCGGTGCAGACGTGTTGACACACTATAAATTAACGGTCAACCTGCACAAGCGTCGTTTAATCGACAGCGTGACTTCCTTGTCAGCGTCCGGACAAGTAATAGCGGTTCCGAAAAATAAAATATCGTTGGTTAACAGCGATAATAAATTCGCGGACATCTTATCGGGATTCCCCGAGGTTACCGGTCGCGGTCAGGTGCTCTCGCCTGCCGCATGTGCTGTCGAACACCACATTGTTACGAACGGTCCTCCCGTCGCGGAGAGGCCACGCCGGTTACCCCCCGATAGATTAAAGGCAGCGAAGGCTGAAATAAAGAGGCTGTCTGAGTTAGGCATTTGTAGGCCGTCCAGCAGTCCTTGGGCTAGTCCAATCCACCTCGTCCGCAAAGGCAACGGCGATTGGCGGTTATGCGGTGATTACCGTCGCCTAAATGCCGGATAAATATCCGATACCGTACTTACATGACTTCACCTCAAATTTATTGGGTAAGTCGATCTTCACTTCCCTTGATCTCTTCAAGGCCTACCATCAGATTCCAATGGCAAAGGCCGATATACCGAAGACGGCCATCATCACGCCGTTCGGTTTATTCGAATTCGTTTCC